GTATGTATGTATGTATGTATGTATGTATGTATGTATGTATGTATGTATGTATGTATGTACGGTACGTACATGCACGCATTTATTTGTTTGTTTATTTGTTTGTTTGTTTATTTATTTATTTAGCTTATATGCTGCCCAGTCTACCCAAAGGTCTCTGGGCGGCTTACAACAATTAAAATACAATCAAAATACAATCAAAAGATAAAACAATTAAAATTAGGTAGGATGATGTCTCTGCCTCAGATAGCAAATTTAGAGCAGCATCAATACAGTGCTTAGAGGGGAGAGTTATGGGCCATGTGCTCTTCCCTGGACACCTCAGCTATCCCCACTACTTTGAGGTGTCAGAAGGAAAACTGTCCATCACCAGTCTTACAGAATAGTTTCACCTGCCAGTTCAGTCAGCCTTGATACCTGGAAAAGGCAGAGACAGTGGTGGTGACTCCAGTTCCGGGAGTGCAAGAAATCCATTCCCCTTATTTTCTTTTTGCAATCGCTATCCAAGGTGCTGAACTCTGTGCCCAAAGTAGATTCAGCAGCTTGGTTAGCTGCCATGAAGTGCAAAAGAAAACCTGGAGTGGATTTCTAACATCTCAGAATTGGAGTCATCCACCAACACTGGACAGGTGCCCTATCTTGGTTTTCCTCTCAAGCAGCCAAATAACTTGGGCCAGGCTCATCACACAGAAAATTGAGAAATTACAATAGAGGATATTGAGAGTAAAAATCCGACAGAATGGCCCATCCTTCTCAGAAAGTGTGAAGAAGTTCTTACAGGCTGTCTTTCTCTCTCATCTCCACAAAGTGGCTGAAATCCTGTTGCACACTTGTAAAGTTGATGATGTCATCAGCCATAGGTGTCTAATTTAAGTCTCCTTTCCCCTTCCCAGATTCCAAGGGCCTCTGGAGTTCCATTTTGACCCAGGGAAGCCTTTGGGAACCTCAAGGCAGGTGGGGAGAGCCTTTAATACCTGGAAATTGCCACTAGCAGTCCAGTGATTTTTTAGATTTTAAAAGCTTCCCTCATCTTTTAAATTAAAGATTAACATCTACAGCTGATGGTGTCATCACTATTTTTGTTGTTTTTTAGTCATTTAGTCGTGTCTGACTCTTCGTGACCCCATGGACCGAAGCATGCCAGGCCCTCCTATCTTCCACTGCCTCCCGGAGTTGTGTCAAACTCATTTCAGTTGCTTCAATGACAATGTCCAACCATCTCATCCTCTGTCATCCCCTTCTCCTCTTGCCTTTACACTTTCCCAACATCAGGGTCTTTTCCAGGGAGTCTTCTCTTCTCATGAGATGACCAAAGTATTGGAGCCTCAGCTTCAGGATCTGTCCTTCCGGTGAGCACTCAGGGTTGATTTCCTTCAGAATTGATAGGTTGGATCTCCTTGCAGTTCAGGGGACTCTCAAGAGCCTCCTCCAGCACAATTCAAAAGCATCAATTCTTCAGCAGTCAGCTTTCTTTATGGTCCCAGCTCTCACTTCCATACATCAATACAGGAAAAAAACGTAGCTTTCAGCCATTTGTAGGTTCCAAGTTCCAATTTTTAGCAAGTCTGGAAAAGACCTCTGGACAGTGACAAATCATAAGAGCAGCCACTGCTGCAGAGCTTTGAATTTTTGATTAAATTCCTTTAGTTGTACAATAGAAGCATAGAGATCTGCAGAGGAGAAAAGCTTCAAGTTCCCCACTCTCATTTACTGGCTCTTAAGGTCTCAGTAACTCACTCTGAGGCATTTGTAGGAGAAAGAATAAAAACATATTTCTTTACTCACAGTTATGAACAGATCAACAGTAAACAAACAACGCTGCTTCCAAAAGACTAAAGAAAGGGAAAGGAACACTCAGCAGAGAGGTGGGGCTCTCTCTGAATTCAGAGGGAGGGAGGAACAATTGGTTAGTTCTGGGTAGATTGACAATCAGCACAGCCCAAAAAGGTCCCTCCCAGCCACACAAACCAAAGACAGCATGCAGGGTTATAAAAACTCCCACAGACACACAAAAAGTTTGACAGTTGTTTGCGAGTTTACAAGGCGTGATTCGTATAAATGTGCTTCTCCACCAGGTGACTCTTCCCCACCGCCATCAACAGTGATCGGACAGACAAAAACTTTAGCCAAAGTAACTTTCAGTCCCAGTGTGGTCCAGCAAACCCAGATTGCAAGGAATGGCGTTCTCGGAGATTTTATTGTCAGATATGATGTCAATCGAGAACTGAGTGTTGGAGATGTCCAGGTACAGTGTAGATTACCTACTGATCATCTCAGGATGTGGAAAAACATGTTTGGGCTTCCCCTTTGATTTCCTTAGAAAAATATAAGTTCTATATCAACTGAGATTTCCCTCAAAAACCTGCACATTACTGAAACTTGCAGTTTGCTTTTGCAGAGAGAAAAAAAGTGCATGACAAAGAAAGGAGGGTATATATTTGAAAAATGTACACAAACACATTGGCTGAAAACCTTTTGTCACACACCAGTAGAGTAGACCCATTGGGATTTACACAAGCGTTGGCTTGTGGTTCAGCCATTGATTCAGTATATGTACTCTGCTTTTAAACTAGCAGTTGATCTAGGATATTAACTAATGGGTAAAATGAGAATAATGAATACATTTGCACATGGATGTAGAAAAATGTGTACATTTTTGGGGAAAATGTCATCAGGTATACTGAAATGTCATGTAACTGATTCTGGCAATGGAAAGCACACTAAGAAATTATGATTAAGATCATGTGGAGTTGCCCAAATGTTTTTACATGCTACAGAGCCAGCTGGCTAAAGGGACTTCAAGAGCCACACAAGGTTGTTAAGAATTACCCATGTGGCTCTTGACAATTTCAGACAAGATGCAAGAAGAGATGTGTGAAGAAGTTGAACCCCTTAAATTGTCACCTGTTTTGACACCATAATTTTTTTGTTCAACTGCAAATCTTTCCCCATTAAAAAATTTATAGGCATCAGCACAGACTGCAGCTGTTTTAACTAAAATTCTATTGAGCAACAGTATGACATGCTACTAGGAGACTGAAACTATTCACATCTAAGCTTCTGGCATTCATTTAGACATGAGAATTGCTGGCAGAGGAGAGGATGGGATTGATGATCTACCAAATCATTGTTAAATATTTGAAAATAAATCCTTCATGATCTATGGATGCCAAAATTCTTCGGAAACACTGACAACTACTTATGTTAAATTACAGTGGGCAAACCACTGAAACTGCAGTAGCTGGGTCTCCGTCTTTTAAAGATGGTGCTCTGCTGAGAGATTTCAATGGCCATAGTAAAACTAAAATGCCCCTTTGTTATAATTTGTCTTTTTAGCTGTATCTCTTTTTCATTCCTGCTGCAAACTGTCTTGGGTCCAGTACTGGCAAGATATAAACAAAACAAAGAGTTATTTGGCACGAGGTTCAGTACAGATGGGATGCAGAGCTGAATGTCTCCTTTTCATCCCACCAGGTTTTGAACGGATATTTTGTCCACTATTTTGCGCCCAAAGATCTCCCTCCGCTACCCAAGAATGTTGTCTTCGTGCTCGACAGCAGCGCCTCCATGGTGGGAACAAAACTCAGGCAGGTGAGAAGGGTTTTTTATTTTCTTTCTCACATCCCCTAAGGAAGACTGAGGCCAGAGGCATGGTTCAGAGTTGTGGAGGTGATGATTTGGTCATAATAACGGGAGAAGCCTGGATGGTGAGATGGTGTGGTGTTATTTTGGTCTGACAGGTAGGGTTGTTTCACTTCCTTCGGGCCCCCTAAACACACTTAGAAGTTAAAAGTGATTCCTGGAGCAACAGGAAGTGCGGTTTAATGATTAGAGGTTTGGAATGAGGTGTCAAGATTCTAGTCCTCACCAAACCCTGAAACTTATTGGATGACCTTAGGTTGGTAATTCTTGTCCTAGCCTATCTCACAGGGCAGTTTCAAGGATGATGGTGGAGTAGGCAGTGAGCAGCTGGTTCATGGAGGCCATGAGGGCAAGGTGTCCCCCTCAAGCTGGGGGCACAATGCCCTGTCTACTCTTGCCAGCCTCCTAACCAGACGCCCTGCTTGCGTTCTCTTCCTGCCACACTTTAGCCTGATCACACTCAGTTGATGTGCACGCAGGTGGGTGCAGTAAAGAAAGCGGATAGGAATATAATTTTTTAAAGAATAGATAGCTGTGTTAGTCTGTGCTGGCATATCAGGCAAAACCAGGAAAAAAAATACAGTAATTTAAAAAAAAAAGAAGACAAAAACATTGCATTTTAATGTGAGGGTTCATAGTCGGAAGAAGTGGACTTGTCCACAAAAGCTGATGGGTGCACCAACATTTTTTTATTCATTTTTTAAAATGTTTCTTCTGGTTTTGCCTGATGGGAGAAAAATTAATGTGTTTTAAATGGGCTGGAGAAGAGCTTTGCGGATACCTTGGATGGCCAGAAAGAGGAACAAGGGGGTCCCAGATCAAATCAAGCCTGAACTCTCTCTGGAGGCAAAGATGTTGAAACTGAGTAGCTGTCCGACTTTGGGCCCATCCTGAGAAGGTAGGATTTTCTGGGAGGGGGGGGAGCAATGGTGTTGGGAAAGGTGGCCAGCAGTAGGAGAAGAGGAATACCAAATATGAGATGGATCGAATCAATCAAGGAAGCCATGGGGTTGAGTTTGCAAAAGCTGTACAGGGTAATTGAGGACGTGACATTTTGGACCTTGCTTATTCATAAGGTTGCTATAAATCGGGGCAATCTGACAGCTCACAACAACAACAAGGTTCTGCTCCTCCCACCACTATGGATACCAGCCGCCCCTAGAAGGAGACAAACCAGGTCCCCCACTCTGAGCTTGTTTGCAAAAACAGGGTAATTGAGGACGTGACATTTTGGACCTTGCTTATTCATAAGGTTGCTATAAATCGGGGCAATCTGACAGCTCACAACAACAACAAGGTTCTGCTCCTCCCACCACACCACATACCAGCCGCCCCTAGAAGGAGACAAACCAGGTCCCCCACTCTGAGCTTGTTGGAAGAAAGGAGGAAGATAAACAGCTAATAAATAGCCAATTATCTACAAAACGAAGACTTCACCACTTGAGTGCCCGGTCTGCTGGACGAACAAGCAGCATCGGGTTTGCAGCACTGAATGGGGAAAGAAGGATTAAGAATAAAAAGGGGGAGGGAAGCTTTCTTCCTGCCAGGAGTTGGTGTGAACAGGCCAGCTCTGTGGGTCACAGATTAACCTCTGCAAGGGGTTTTAGTTTCCTCCAGAATTAAGAGGTATTAGCATTTTTTTTTGGCTCAAGGAGATCCTGGTCTTCAGTTAACCCTTGGAAACCTACACCACGATTCCAGCTCTACGTTTTGCTCTCCTTTGGTTCAACGGGGCTCAAAGTACAGATAGGAACAGTTACAGGTTTTGAACCACATTTCCTAGAATCCAGGGCCCACTGACCATTTGTAGTTCCCAAAAGTAAGCTTTTTCCCATTGCTGGCTTCAGCATCGATACCTACATGTCGGGTTATGGCTGTAAAGCGAGGACGGGAACAGAAACCACACTTTTACAAATGCTCGGGTTGCCATGTCAGGGGATCGTTGAAATGTTGGGAAAGAAGAACGTTGAAAGATTGAGGGGCTTAACTTCATTAGGACACACAGTCCTTGGGGCGTGGAAGTCCAAAGCCAACTGGTGTTCACGTAAGGTTTGAATAAATGGCTGTGGTTAATTATAATTAATTGATGATGTGGTGGGCCACATTTCAATCATGTGCCTCATTGGGAAGGACAACCAAGATGTCGGTCAGCCACAATTAGCTGCGGCAAGTTGCACAAATCTTTTGCGAACCCACTGCGCGATGCTGGCTGGCGTATTAAGGTGACCTCTTATATCACAAAAGAGACAAGTGGTTTGTAACTAAGATGATGGACAGCTCAGTGGTTTGGGTCTCTGACTGTGGAGCCCGATGTTGGGAGTTGAACTCTCCACTTTCGAGTAGAACCAGCCTGTGTGGCCTTGGGTAAGCTGCACGATCCTGGGATGCCCCATGTGATGTGCTTGTTCCCCTCCAAACACTTGCCTGCCCAGCTTCTGTGACATCACAAGGCTCCACCCCCTTTGATGTCAGAAAGGCCGTCCCCTCTGATAGCACAAAAACCTACCCCTAACGGTCTCAGGATTTCGCCCTAAAACCTCAGCAAATACAATGCTATTGACCTGGCAGTTCTAGCCTAAACGCACATCATTTTGGAGAAAGGCAGGGTTTGGATTGAGGAATGTCAATTTACGGGTCTTTCTCCAGGTATCAAGTGATCAGTTTTAGATTAGAAAAAGAGTGGATGATCAAGCAATTGCATGCAGAAGTGAAGGACAAGGGGAAACTTCATAAGATCCAAAAGCAAACAGATCCATAGAATTATTCACAGCCTACAAAGGAAACAGAACTCCAGGAAGAAAAAGCTAGAATCTGGAACTGAACTGAAATTTCTCCCAACTTTTGCTTCCCAACCTTTGCCTGCCCTGCTTCTGTGACATAACAAGGCTCCTCCTCTTGAGGAAATGCCATTTTCTTGACCTCACCACCCCAAAGAAAGAAGGAGACAAAGCAGAAAGGGCTTTTCTCCCTGCTTTTCATTGCCACTCACAGAGTAGGGCCCTAGGGTCTGAGACGACCTCAGCAGGCACTGGGCAATTTTAATTGTTGGCCCAGATCCCACACTCAGAGGTCAGGGTTGCCGTGAGACTTGTGGATGAAAAGTCATGGAGTCTCTTAGTCTTGCTTTCCCCCCAGAATGGTTGAGATAATAGTTACCTAATGTTCAAAGGAAAGCAGCTGTTGGCCAGCGAGCGGAAAATGTGAATCAATGGGCATTGGAAGGATGTCAGAAGGGAGCTACTTGTCGCTTAGCCTTGACTTCATAGGATGTTTGGTGTGTTGTGGAAAACTGAGGTCAGCCCGAACAGCTGGTCTTTGTGTCTCTCTTTGAACCGGCTTGACGTCCATCTTGTGGGCAGGATGCTCTCGGCTCTCACCCCCCCACCCCCATATGACTTAACAAAGAGAGGGACTGTGTGGTAGAAAATGTCGCTGATGCCACCATTCCCATCTGCGGAGGTCCTTTGAGGGACTGAAGGTCATGGGGTCAGCTTCTGGGAATGACCACGTCAGCCCTTTTGGCAGCTGAAGGAGCAGACTCTGTTCGAGTTCTCCTAATTGGTTCCACTACAGTGTGATGCCTGGAGGATCGGGAATCATAGGCCAAAAATACAACTTCTCCAGGCTCTGTGAGGGAGGCAGATACTTTATTATAATTATCATCATCAAACTGCAGAGCTGGAAGGGACTCTACGGATCATCAAATCCAACCCCTGTCGAGGAGGCACTGAGGGGGAATCGAATTCCCAACTTCTGGCTCTGCAGCCAGAGACCGAAACCACTGAGTTATCTAGCAGCTCTTTTTGATATTTGTTTCTTGACTGAGGCCTTGGGGACACTTGAGAACCCTCTTGTCTGTCAACAAATCTAATCTCCCTGCTACTAATTTCCCACAATACTCCAGATACCCACACAAAGAAGAGGGCATTGTGGGGAAATTAAGAGGAAATACCTGGCCTCAGGGCTGCTCGTTCCCACAATGCCCTGGTCTTTGTGTGTGTTTCTGGAGTATTGTGGGAAATTAACAGGGAGGTTAGACTTGCTGCTGCGTAACTCAGCAGCTTAGGTCTCTGGCTGTGGAGCCAGAGGTTGGGAGTTTGATTCCCCTCACAGTGTCTCCAATGATCCATAGGGCAACCCCAGAATTTCAGAGACAGTCCTTCCTCCCTGTTTAGACCATGAATGGCCTACGCCAACCCTGACTTTCAGCAATGTTACCTTCGTAGTGCAGTTTTTCCGACCACAATAATTCCATAAGAACCCTTCCCAGTCAGAGCAAGAACTAGGTAATCTACCATCCTATTTGCTACTGTGGTCAGTTGGATTCTTCTCAGAAGCCTATGGGGAGAGTATGAGCAGAGCTTGAGAAAGGAGGGATCCTTTTTCCTGACTACAGCCCCCCCAGAACTTTTGTTGTTGTTTAGTCATTAAATCATATATGATTCTTTGTGACCCCATGGACCAGAGCACGCCAGGCCCTCTTGTCTTCCACTGCCTCTTGGGGTTGGGTCAAAGTCATGTTGGTCACTTCGATGACACTGTCCGACCATCTCATCCTCTGTCGTCCCCTTCTCCTCTTGCCCTCACACTTTCCCAACATCAGGGTCTTTTCCAGGGAATCTTCTCTTCTCATGAGATGGCCAAAGTATTGGAGCCTCAGCTTCCAGATCTGTCCTTCCAGTGAGCTCTCAGGGTTGATTTCATTCAAAATCCCCAGAACTAACCAGACACAATTGAAAAACTTGGTTGCTGAAGCCAAAGATAGCTAGTGGCTCAAGAAGGCCACCCAACAAGTTCATCATAAGCAAAGATCCTGATTAAAAACAAAAGCAAAAAAACAATGTCTCCGGACTTCATCCAAGCCATATGGTTTCTGCTGTGTTAGAACACCCTGCTGTTGCAAGAGGAAAGACAAACAAACAATATCCATTGTCCTTGATAGCCCTTGGATCCAGCTTCAGGGCCACCAGCTGGAGAGAGGACTCTAGATTCCATTCCAATGTGTCATGTGTTTCGCTATGGCATCATCAGCTTCTTGGCCGGGATCATGGGGAAGCTGAATAGATGACATTTACGACTCCTTGCAAATGGAATGTTCCATCTGGGACTGAGAAGCCCCCAGTGTTTTTAGACTGGAAAAGAAGAGAATAATCAGGAGTTGGCAGGGCTGCGTTGGCATCAAATACTGTTGACTTTGAGACAAGAAAGCAAAGTAAAACCTTTTAACCATCCTCAGTCTGAAGGCCTCTAGCTGAGTCGAACTATCCCCTGGCCAGGAATTACAGAAGTAGATCAACCCATCTCAAAGGCTGGGTAATAAGGATGCTCTAGCGTTTGAATCTATTAAACCCAACCTTTGGAAAAGTTGCTCTAGAAATCCTCTATTCAGCCCTGCTGCATTAGCTGGGGAGGATCCTGGCAATTCTTGTAGAAAAAAGTAACTATTCCCAGCTGTGGAAACTTGGCCAAAATCCAGATGTAGAAAAAGATTGTGTTAACTTTAGAACTTGACCTTTGGGAGTCGTTGTGGGTCATTGCTGGAAAGTAGGGATATTTAGAAAGCTGTATCATGCCTGCCTGGCTTGGGGGATTCTGAGTGACTCCAGATGTAGTCCAGATGTTCTTGGACTACACCTCCCAGAAATTCTGGCCACCACAGCTAGTGGCAATGGCTTCTAGGAGTTTGAGTCCAGTCTGGGGACCCAAGATTGAGAACCACTGTCTTAGGGTAATGATCACTCAAATTTAAAGAAAAAGAAAAAGAAACCAGAAGAACAGATCATTCCTCTAAAATAAGCTCAGTAGTATGGAACACCAAAGTTCCTGGAGAAATTTTGTATGGAGCAAATTTTTGTAAGCCTTGCTGATTTAAAGGAATTTTGTGTGTGTGTGTGTTGTTTGCCATCAAATCGGAACAGACTTACAGAGACTCTAAAAGGGCTTTCAAGATCAGTGAGATATTTAAAGACCATTTTTACCTGTTCCACTCCTCCAATGTGTTTCCATGGCTGAGTGGGTATTCAAACCCTGTTCTCTGGAGTCCTAATCCACCACTCTATCCACTACACCACCCTGGGACCCCAAAGGTTTGAAGCCCTCTGTTTTCTCTGAACAGGACTGGAGGAGGAGGGACAACGTGTACTTTGTCAAGATCCTCTGTTCATCATAGGCCAGGGATAGGGAAACTGTAGATGATTTTTGGGCTACAGCTCCCATAATCCTTGACCATTGGTTCTTCTGGGGTGCTGCTAATGGACATTGGAGTCCAGGTTGGAGTTTCCCATCCTAATCATGGTGAGATATCAGAAGAAGATAGTATTTCATGTAAATATACCCCTGATCCACTTCCTCTCCAACTTTTTCTTTGCACATGGATCATATGAGGTGACCCTACTTGGGAGTCAATGTCCACACGTGCCTGCATTTCTTGTGTACACTGTGACAGTGTGTAGGGTTCAGTCCATGAGTTTGAGTCGAACCTGCAGAGGGTCTCTTGCGGTCCCCATCCTTCACACTGTGAAGAGACAAGACGGATCAGCAAATTGACCAACATGCACATATTCACTCCGGAAGTCTTATTTTGTCCCTTTTCAGACCAAAGATGCACTGTTCACCATTCTCCAAGACCTAAGACCTGAGGATCACTTTAACATCATTGGCTTCTCCAACCGGATCAAGGTTTGGCAACAAGACCAGCTCGTGCCGGTGACTCCAAACAACATCAGAGATGCAAAGATCTACATCCACAACATGTCACCCACTGGAGGTAATCATGGCCCCAAGAGGGATGGGTCATGGGTTTTCCCCCCAACTTTGTATACAGATGTATGGTGCACAACCCCTAAATGCACATATGTATCATCAGTTCAGTGTGCTTTATTTATTTTGGGACAACAGGCCTTCAGCTGATGCATGAAACAGAGGTTCAAAAAGGGTAGCTTTCATCAAGAACAGCATCTCTAAACTGTACCAATTGGGTTTCTGCATTTCATAAAGTATATGAAAGCACACAGAGCTTCTTAGATTAGATTAGGCACTCTTCAATCTAGAGAGACTATGGTAATGTGCTCTAAATAGAGAGCATTTGGAACAGCATCTAGTGTGGCTGAGAAGGCCAATTCAAGAGTGACAGTCCCTTCCACATTGAAGACAAATACAATCTGTCCCCTCTCCAGCTCCCTGGTTTTGCTGGTTTCAGGACTGTCTCTTTGCCTCGGCCTGCTGGACAAGGGTCTCTTCAAATTGGGAGAGGCCATGATGCACCGCCTGCCTCCAGGCTGAATGCTCAGAGGTCAAGGTTTCCCATCTGTTGTGTTCCATTTCTAAATCCTTCAGATCCTGCTTGCAGATCTCCTTGTATCGCAGCTGTGGTCTCCCTCTGGGAGGCATCAGTAGGTTAAATGTTTTTGAAGATAATGCCCTTCTGACCTGCAAGACACACTTCACTGCCTGCGGAGGGAGAACTCATACCAGATGCTGCGCTTATCTACTGCTCTACTGCTGCGTAACAAGATGGAGGGAGATGGAGGATGGAGGAGTAAGGTGGGAGGAGGAAGGTGGGTACATAGAATATGCAGAAGGAGGAAGATGGGAGTGTCCTGGAAGCAGAAATGCAGTGTACTTAACCCGGGTCATTGGACCACCCACAGAGGCTGCACGGGCCCATAGAGGAGCAGGGGAGTCTGGAGAACACCCGCACTGCAGGGGAGAACATGTAATATTGACACGGACTCAAGTATAAGCCGAGGGGGTGTTTTTTCAGCAAAAAAAAATTGTGCAGAAAAACTAGGCTTATACTCGAGTATATACAGTATGTCTCCACCAGCATCACCCTACAACACACCCACCACTGTTGATTTGAAATGATATGGGTGATCACATGTGTCAGAAAGAAAAATCAAGCAAACACGCCATCAAAAAAGTAGCCCCTTCTGGTGAACCAAAAAAAGGTCTCAATGGCTGTGGGAAAGCGCTGGGCTGGTTCAGGAGTACTTGTACGTCGTATAGTCGCTGGAAGACATCCATCTCAATGTTGGGACAAGCCAAAGGATGAATCACAAAGTGGTCGCACCTTGAGTTTCCTTGTAGCATCATTCCTTCATAATTATGGGAGCTCATAATCAGTAGAAATAGAAATCTACTCGCTACTGATGCAACCTTGTTACAGAATCTCTAAAAGTGTTTTCTATGTAAGGATGTCAGTCTTTCAGCTTCCTTTTCCTGGATAGAGACCAAGGGGGGGGGGAGACTCTTTTCCTCTGTTCCATTTTTTTCCCCTCTGAGAAATCTTGTGGGATTTCTTGGAAGTTTTGCAATCATTTTTTTTCTAGGTGAAATGCAAAGTTGTACAGGAATTTTACAATTCCTACACAGAATGGCATTTCCCCTCATGTTGAATCCCCTTGGAAATACGTGAGCTGCCTCGTTGCAGTTCCTGTGCAGGACACCGTCTTTCCAGGATTCTCAAGAAAAAAAAAGATTAAGTTGTGCAGAATCAGACAGTTCCCTGGCAGAATGGTCAAAGACTAAAACCAAGATGATAAAACTGAACAGGAAGCGACGACCAAAATATAAAATAAACAGGATAAAGAGATCAGGTACTTGTTTTGTAGGAAGCCAGGAAATCTTGTTGATGCAAGCGTGTGAAGCATCCCTGGAAAGTCCTGGCATGGCAAGACTCAGAAAAGAATTGATAAGAAATTTTGCAAGCCTTTGTACCATAAATAATTCTTCACGTGCAGATCAGGAGAAACCCTATGCATCTGCATTTTCCCTAGGAGCGGAAAGTGATCTTAAGACAGAGAAAATGCTCTCCCAGCCCAAAACAACCTTAAGCCCAGACTTCTCACCAAAGCAAAAAGCAAAATGTGCCTGCTTATGTACTGCCCTGTAGTGCTTAAAGCACCCTCTAGACAGTTTGCAAATTATGCTTGTTGCTGCCCCACTTTACGAACTTTGGAAGGATGGAAGGTTGAGCCAGCTATCTGAGTCTGCTGGGAATGAATGCAGGTCATAAGTAGAGTCTTGACTGCAGGACTGCAGTTTAACCACTGTGCCACAAGGATTCACCACCAGTTCTAATAACCAGTAAGGAAATTAGAGTAGGGGATAGATCCTGAGTCTGCTACTGCTCCCTTTACCAAATCCTCTATCTCCTGAACAATGTGTTAATGCTGTAGTCTCTTCCTAGGCACAAACATTAATGGGGCGCTCCAGATCAGTACCAGGATCCTCAATGACTACATCGCCCAGAACGACATTGAAGAGCGAAGCGTCTCCCTGATCATCTTCTTGACCGATGGGCGGCCCACGGTTGGGGAGACAGAGCCGGCCAAGATAATCAACAACACCAAGGATGCCATCCGGAACAAGTTCTGTCTTTTCACCATTGGCACCGGCAATGATGTGGACTACCAGCTTTTGGAGAGGCTGGCGCTGGAGAACTGTGGCATGACGAGGCGCATACGGGAGGACGAGGATGCAGCAGCGCAACTGAAAGGGTGGGTGGGAGAACATGCAGTGAGCCGAAACTTGCATTGTTTTCATTACTCTTGCTGGGCACAAGTCCAGTCAACGAATTTCTACTGAACTTAGGTAAAGCTAAATGTTCCCCCCTTGACATTGAGTCCAGTCATGTCCGCCTCTAGGGCATGGTGCTCATCCCCGTCACCAAGCCGTAGAGCTAGCGTTTGTCCGTAGACAGTTTCCGTGGTCACGTGGCCAGCGCGGCTAGACACGGAACGCTGTGACCTTCCCACTGTGGTGGTACCTATTAATCTACTCGCATTTTTACATGCTTTTGAACGGCTAGGTTGGCAGGAGCTGGGACAAGCGACGGGAGCTCCCTCCGTTGCATGGATTCAATCTTACGACTGCTGGACTTCTGACCTTGCAGCCGAGAGGCTTCTGCGGTTTAACCCACAGTGCCACCACATCCCTTAACTTACTTCTGAGTAAATATGCAAAGGACAGAGTTGCATTTCATGGGGAACTGAGGTCAGATGACCCCTTACTAGAAATGTACATTTTCTGTTTTCCCTTGAGGCAGTCACTTCTTTCAAAACTCCATGCTACAGCCATCAGACTGGCATTCTGCTTACCTCTCCTGCATCCTGTTTAACTCTCGATAACCCATTGACAAACAACAGCAAACTCATTTCCAACATGCAGAATAAGGCCAGCTCATGCTAGGAGAAAGACACGTCTTTTACCTTTTCCAGCCAGCTGTATAGTTTAGTGGTTCAGGTATCTGGCTCCAGAGCCAGAGGCTGGGTATTCGATTCCCCGCCGTATGTCTTACATGCACAGCCAGCCTGTGTGGCCTTGAGCAAGCTGCACAGTCCCAGGGCACCCCCCAGAAGAATGGAAACCTCTTCTGAGTATTCTCTATCTAGAAAACTCTGGTCACCCTAAGTCAGAATTAACTTGTTCGTGTGTGATTATTATTAATAATGTGTGGACTGTCTTGGGTGGCTCGGGAGTAAATGTCATTTTGAGAAATATGGGTCTCCGAACCCATGCTGATACAACGAAGATAGGGCAGAACCTCGTTAGCTTTTGAGTTGGAGGTGTTCCCTGAAGTTGTCTGCTATGCAGTGCTCATTTGCGTCTCCTACACTTTGCTTGTATATTTGTAGTGCTGCGCCCGGACCTTAGAAATGGAAACAAGTGACTAACCAAAAAGTTCATCCACAGGTTCTACGACGAGATCAGCACACCTCTTCTGTCCGACATCCGGGTGGACTACCCTCCAGAGAGTGTGGACAAAGTCACCCGGAATCTCTTTCCCAACTATTTCAACGGATCTGAAATTGTCATCGCCGGGAAACTCTTCAACCAGACCACCGACCGCTTACATGTAGAAGTGACGGCCAGCAACAGCAACAAGTATGTCCTCCTCAAAACGGACGTGGCCATTGATCTCACCACCAAGAACCATCTCGGAAGAGCTTCCAGCATTGAAGACCCAACCGAGGGCCAGAACTACGTGGAGAGGACGTGGAGCTACCTCACCATCAAGGAGCTGTTGACTTCCTGGCTGAAGAGCGACGATGGGGAAGAGAAAGAATCTCTGAGGGAGAAAGCAAAGAATTTGGCCCTCATGTACAACTTTGTCACCCCCTTCACCACCCTGAAGATGAAGGAGCTTGCCCTTCAGGCAGAGCTCCCCAAGGAGGTCTACATCGGCCCATCGGTGGGTGGAGTTGGAGAGATCGTACAGGGGTTACAAGGTCACTGGGCACCTGCAGGTAAGGATCGCACACCATCCTGAACAACTGGAAACAGCTGGGGGTGTAAGCTGATCTTCTGTCCGGCAATATGTAGCCTGTGGGTCATCATTTCTTCCACTTCTGTTCTTCCGAAGTAGGCCATTGCTTCGGTAGTCCAAACTGTGCCCGTCTATCCACAAGATGGAAGAATGCCTCCAAGCACTAGAGGCATTCAAGAGATACTTAAGACAACCCCCTGGCAGATATCCTTTGATTTATTTTCCTGCATCAAGCAGGGGGTTGGACTGGATGGCCTTAGAGGCCCCTTCCAACTTCACAATTCTGTGAAGATAGAGACAGGCCCTTTCTGGAGTCTAGGGGCTAATTTTCAAACCCTTCAAAAGCTGCAGTGGCCCCCTCCCAAAAAAATCCAACTTAGAAGCTGCAGGGAATTCAGGTTGTTTGTTTGTTTGTTTTTGTTAAAAACCACTCTGCAGGGGATTTGGTTAAAGCAGAATACAAGGAGACCGTGCATCGTTTAAGGAGGATCACCAGCCCTGGAAGTTCTCCTTTCTTTTCCAGCTATTTTTTTTAAGCAAGGAGGATCTAGGTGTTGCAAAAAGATATGGTGGGTGCACGATTTCCACTAGAGATTCAAGCCTTATGATGTGAAAAATGAGGATGGTAGAGGTAGCTATAGAACAGTGGTTCCCAGCCTTGGGTCCCCAGATGTTTTTGGACTACAACTCCCAGAAGCCTTCACCACCAGCTGTGCTGGACCGGAATTTTAGGAGTTGTAGTCGAAGAACATTCAGGGGTTGCAACTAATGCAGACTACTTCCTGGAGGAAAAAGAGTAGAAAACTGTAGGTGAATGGAATTAGATGTCCTGGAAGAAGCATCCTTAACAGACCTCAAACATACCCTGCCACATTTTGTTGCTCTTTCCCTTTGTGAACTCATACTAACACATCCAATATGGAAATCACAACCTTGAATCTTAGATTCCACCCATAAACCATCAGAAGATGTTGAGATGCCCACAAGTAATGCATGAAGTTCAATGGCCTTTCCCAGCACGGCTCCCGAGCAACTGGCATTTGCAGATACAGTGCTCCTGAAAATGGAGGTTCCATTTTGTTGTGGCAGCTACACATTTTTTCACAGCCTAAGGTTCCATGATGGAACTTTGAGGGAGTGTCAACATTGCAAATGGGAGAGGTTAAAAATGGGTAGTTTCCAATAGCCCATGGCAATGAACCACATGTAATTCATTTAAATGAAGCTTGGACAGTTCCTTTGGAAAGACACAACATTGAGATGGTTCTGGGGGTGGAGCCCCAGATCATTGGGGCCCACAGCAGCATCACAGGTATCAGGGTTTTCTCAGTGTTGGCATCCCATTGACAGAATTCACTTCCATCAATCATCTATACTACTTCATTTTTCAGATACTGGTTAAAACCATATTGATTTCTACCGACTTTCAAGGGATA